CATATGTTGGAAAAGCGACTAGGGAGTGGAGACCTTATGTCTAAAATAAAATCAATTAGGGAGTGGAGACCATATGTTGGAAAAGCGACTAGGGAGTGGAGACCCTATGTCTAAATTAAAATCAACTAGGGAGTGGAGCCCCTTTGTTGGAAAAGAGACTAGGGAGTGGAGACCCTATGTCTAAATTAAAATCAACTAGGGAGTGGAGCCCCTTTGTTGGAAAAGAGACTAGGGAGTGGAGACCCTATGTCTAAAATATCATCAACTAGGGAGTGGAGACCCTATGTCTAAAATATTATCAACTAGGGAGTGGAGACCCTATGTTGGAAAAGAGACTAGGGAGTGGAGACCATATGTCTAAAATATCATAAACTAGGGAGTGGAGACCCTATGTATGAAATAGAATCAACTAGGGAGTGGAGACCCTATGTCTAAAATATCATTAACTCAGGAGTGGAGATCTTATGTTGGAAAAAATACTAGGGAGTGGAAACCTTATGTCTAAAAATATCAACTAGGGAGTGAATACCCTATGTTGGAAAAGCGACTAGGGAGTGAAGACCCTATGTCTAAAAATATCAACTAGGGAGTGGAGAACCTATGTTGAAAAAGTGACTAGGGAGTGGAGACCCTATGTCTAAAATAATCATCAACTAGGGAGTGTAGACCCTATGTTGGAAAAACAGACTAGGGGATATAGACCCTATGTCTAAAATAATCATCAACTAGGGAGTGTAGACCCTATGTTGGAAAAACAGACTAGGGGATATAGACCCTATGTCTAAAATAAAATCAACTAGGGAGTGGAGACCCTATGTTGAAAAACGAAGCTAGGCATTGGCGTACCCTATACTACCATAATTTAGAATTTTCTTTATTTTTTTTCTTTTATTAAGAAAATAGGTAAAGTGCAGGAAAGAATTTGGACAAGACTTCTCTTTTTGGAGTTGTTGTTGCTGTAGAGCAATTTCAGTCTCCGCGTGTTTTTCTTTTTGGTTGCACCTGCTTCTTGCAAGGTTGCTTTAGATTACACCTGTTTCCTGTGGTTCAAACAAAGAACGATTTGTCAGTTTGAAACGGTGGTTATTTTTGCGGCCTTGAGTGCTTTAGTCACTTGATCTCGGCCCGTCTTCTTTGATGGTACTTTCAACTACAACTGGTTGTTCCCTGAACATCGACTTCATTTCTGGCCCCTGAGAACCCTTGACTTTTATAAAACTTTACCATGACGGTTGGTCGCATGGGACTTAACCTTTTTCAGCTCCATTTTGCCTTTGTAGGCTTTTCACTTCTTTCCTCTAAATTTAACTTTAGAGCGTTGGGGAACCTTTGGCTTTTCAAACTTTGCCAAGACGGTTAGCCACATGGGACTTAACCTTTTCAACTTTATTTTGCCTTTATGGGCATTTGACTTTGCTTTTCTTATTTCAAGAGTCTTTGACTTCGAGGCATCGACCATCATTGCTAGTCGGAGTCGACTGGATGCCCCTGCCGAGGCTGGGTGCCCTTTTGCATATTGGCTTATATCAAATGAGAACCCTGTAAATCAGTCTTGCCATCCCTTCTTTGCCTTAGTTTGGAACAGAGTTAGACTGAAAGGGATTCAAGGAAAAACAAATAATGGAATGGACAACGAAGTTAGACAAGAGGCATCCCTTTCGGGGAAGGGAAAAAGGACTTATCTAGAGTACTTGCGGACTTCAATGAACATGACATATCTTTTGAACTGGATGTCTGATCTGTGTAAACCGTCCGACTCTCAAAAATTCATCACAATTTTTTGCCTCTAAACCGAGAAACATTGCCCAAGACTGTCAATACCAATGGCTGTGAAGATTCTCTTTTCGATCAGTAGTGCCCTTTGCGGGTTTTCACCAGCTGACCTCTCTCATTTCTCTTCTCATCATCGCCTTATAGTGCCCTTTGCGGGTTTTCACTAACAAGACTCTCTCATTTTCATTTTCTATTCTCATCATCGCCCTATGGTGCCCGTGAGGGTTTTCACCAATAAGACCCTCATTTTATTTCTCTCACTTTGGTGGCATCAGATCCAAATGACTGTATCCTCCAATTCTTGAACATTCTCGTTGATTGATCGGAAGGACTTGAAAAGGATTTGGGTAAAAAGGATTTGGATTGAATTACAACTTTGGAGCCTTTCAGGCGAAACCATCGTCGAACCATTGTAACATCTGCCCCAGTTTCAACTTTTGGGGAAATAGGGATTTATATTTTGGTGTGACTGAACCCCAGAGAGAGGCTGCCTACGTATCCTTTCGGAATCAAGTCAAACGTAGTTCAAGAACTTTGTTTTTTGATTTTCTTTTCTTTTGCTTTTTCTTCTGTTTTATTTTCTTTTCTCATTTTTTTTTTCTTTGTTTTTTTTCTTTTTCTTTTTCTTTTTCTTTCTTGTTCTTTTTCCAATAACTCCTTTAGGTTCCAAAGAGGGTAATCAAAGAAAGGTAACCGGCTCAAAAGGTCAGCAAAAAGTTTAATGATGTTTGGATATCAAGAATGAAAGCCTTCATCATCCCAATTAGAGAACATTAATGCTACATAAAGGGTAAAACATAATACCTTTTGACTGCATCCATGCCGACAGTTGTTTCAGGGACATTTTATTCGATGCCTCCCAGGTACAACGCTATCTTTTGACAATACTCTCGTTACAATGTATGGACCTTTCCAATTTTTAGCCAATTTTCCTTTAGCTTCTTTATGAGGTGGGAGGATACGTCTCTGAATGAGTTGTCCTATTTCAAATTTCTTGGGCCGCACTTTCTTATTGTAGACACGGGCCATTCTTTGTTGGTACAACTGCTCGTGGCAAATTGCGGCCAATCATTTTTCATCAATCCGTGTCAAGTATTCCAATCGGTTGTTGACCCAATCTTTATCCTTAATCTCGGCTTCAACAATGATCCGAAGAGAGAGAATTTCAACTTTTTTCAATTTCATTCGGACTTGGCTTAGGTCTACTGTTTCAATTCTTTATTTATTTTCTCACAAGCCTTATCGTTAACACATTCTACTTCTTGATTCATTATTTCTAAGTCTGACATCATTTTAGTATCTGGGCATGAAGTCTGTAAGCATGTCATGTTATTAAAATCCACATTAACAGAACTGAAAACAGAATAAGGAAGGTGACAAGATTAAGAAAACAGACATTTCTGGACAATGAAATATTAATTTCATTTGGTTTGATTTTTTAAATTTTTTTTAAAGATAGAAGGGTTTACATCAGAAAGTAAGACAATAAAAGTAAAACGTCTAGATTACACCCTGAAATAATCCGTACGCATAAAAGATAGCAAGACCGGCTATCGAGACTCCCATCTGACAAAGAACTTTTCAGGTTTGGCGCCTGTTTTTAGTTCTCTTCTGCCGCAATAATGGCTACTGTGGCTTTCAATGCTGGATCATCAATTATTCAACAGCCTTTTGAGGGTCCAACGGTCCTATGTATCATGTCCCACTGCTCCAGAGTGATATTCACATCTAGCATCAGCTTGGTGCAAGGGGGACTCGGGGTTTGGCCGGTTCGGGGCCACTGGCCGTAGCAGATCTAGCCCGACTAGCTTTTGAAACAAACTTGAATATGATTCACCAATAGGGGTGAATTGATTCCTTTTGTGGGGCTCTTTTTGGGCGAGGGTTGTATTGTGGAACATTTGGTTGGGGATTATATGGAGCTTGGTAGGGACGGGCATTTTTGAGAGGTGAAGCTCGATTTTGTGTATAATGTTGTGGCCGCGTGTAAGGTTGCGCGTTCATCATCGCATAGGGAGGCGGTGCCACGACATAAGATGCATCTTGATGGGGATAATAGTGTTGTGGGAGGGGATTAAAGAAAGGATAAAAGACAATCTAAGACTTTGGGTAGCTTTGGAAAAAAAAAGAGTGGAAAGATCTTATTTCGTGTGATTTCAACAAATGAAGTTAATCGGAGAATTGATCGACATGCATCACTGCCGATTGACAAAGGGAAACATAAAAGAGAAGATACGGGTTTAGGACTCAAAGTACAAAAGCATTATGAGATATCTGAAGTGGGGTAGTATTTTATTTTCAAATATAATGGGAATGTGAAATGACAACTCTATTCTCGAACGAGATTATGTAAAGTGTTGTACAATCCAGTTGTCCATAATAGCAAAGGAATATTTTGATTGCAGTAGCTAGAGATTCCTTAGTTGTATTTTATATTTCCTTGTATATATTTTTTATTCACGTTAGGACAAATTATACACGGACAGGTATGGGACAGGTATGAGAGTAGTACATAGAGTAAATTGAATAAATTAGCTACACTGTGCATATATTTCTTTTTCAAGACAATACACATCAATTCATATTGGGTTCAAAATTTTCCGTCTTTACAAAGGTTCCCGGCTGAGTAGTAGGAGCAACTTCTAATTTATTATGAGCCTAAACGATGCATTCAATAAGTTCTTGCCAATAACCACGTCAACCGAATAATATCATTTCTTTCTATGGAGAGAGGGTCCACCTTCTTCTATTTCTACATCTAGGATTCGACTTGTATCATTGATACTAACGAGAATTCAACCATTACGGCAAGGAAAAGATTGATAGAAGAAGATGCAAAAATTGGAACCGATTGTGTACCACTACTAATAAACACCAGAATAAGCGGTATTCATTGTGCCAAAAGCACCTCCTCGAATAAGAGCTTCCACGGTCAATTAACAAAAATGAGATCCCAAATTGCATGAGCAATAGGTGTCGAATTTAGAGTAAAATGTTCATTACCCCTTCGATGTATAGATCCGAGATGCTCGAGACAAGTATAGGCAAGCATCCGAAGCTGGATCGAGTCCTTTTTTCTCGAACATATTACTAGGGGGAAGGAGCAACAACTTCCTCACAATTACAAATCATTTCCTCAGTTTCTATTTTCATTGGCGTTACGTAATTTAACACAAAAGCTTACGAGCCGTACAAGCCAATATCAAGATTGACAACAATAACCAAAGTAGGGAAGTGGAAAAGGGCACGAATGAAAGAAATCAGCATTCTGACCTTCCGTTTCTGTTCAAGAAATGTAAGAAGCATCTATAACTAAAACTCAAGCCAAACTTGTAATTTCAGTACTTGTAAGACTAGAACACCATATCTACATAAACTAGTATCTGCAGTGCTTTCGCGAAGAAACAAAAAACTTTCCCCAAAAGGTTTCTTGTATGACCTACATAATCTATTCGGTAACCTCTATCTTTTCTCCATCTGGAACTTCTGTTTCGTCTGCAGCAGTTCCTTGTTCAGACTGCATTTGGTTTGGAGGAGGTGGCAACTGCTGCACTGTTTCCACAAACTCTTCCATTGTTTCCGCAGCTTCTGTAGCTTCCCCAAAACGGTTGTCATATTCCTCTATTATCTGCATATGTTAAGAGAAGCAAATATATATCAGAACCTCAGGCAAAATCAATATAACATGTAAATGAAAGGTGACCTTAATGACATGATTTGGTTCAGAAAGCATGCTAGAGTTTTGTATAAATTGTGAAGTTGGAACAGACGTTCATACAGTTAATCAGCATGTATTCAACATATGGTTGGCAAGTGGCAACTGGCTATCTAATGACACCTCAAGGAGGGAGTTATCCAAATGCAACACATCAACATCGCACACTCAATTGTACACCAACCACAAAAGCTCATGAGGATACATGGTTTCATCCTTATCCTTCAAAATCTAATCAAGAAAACCAATTTCCTTTAGCGTACCCAAGGATCCCAACAATCACCTCAATAACAAGGTCATACTTTGGGGCTTACCATTGTAAATGACTAAACCATGACGAATGCAACATTTTTTATTTGCGCAAATTAGATGAGTGCACCAAGGAGGTAAACTATATCTTCTTTCCTGCTTCCTCTTTATTGGGGAAAAGTCATTTATCTATATTTTCCATTGCTTAAAAGTATGAAAAACCTGTGGTGTGCAACAATAATACAACAGCTCACAGATGTCGAACAAATTACAATGCTGCAAGTTTAAGTAGTCAATATACCAAGAGCATCATCTTTCCAAACATTACCGGGTAAAGTTCAACGAGCGAAGATGGCCTAATATTGATGATGTTAAGGATCTCAGCTTTCGCGAGCTTGATACTTTTACATTTTTCCAAAAATTCACCAATTGCTTGTCTTGTCTGATTGCAAGCAGCAGTTTGCTCTAAATAATCATACACCTAGAAGATCACAAGCATCAGCCATTGCCAGGCCTAATGAAATACGCTCAAACAAGAAGTTGGATAATGTAACTTCCAACCTTGAACTCTGACGGTGCAACAGGAACTATGACCCGTGTAGGATCTCTTCCTGCACCTCTCGAGCGTAGAAAGTCTAGCACTTCAAAGTTTGTGAGAGCACCTGCATTTGCTTCAAGTCTGCAAAAGATATTGTATGAGAAACTGCAACTACCCAGCAACAAAGACCATGAACTTAAAAGCTCACTGAAGCAATGGGCTTCAATCAGGAACAAAAATCATAAAGTGTTCATACATCTTCATCACCAGAATCCAGAACTCTTCACCGCTCAAACTACTACTCTTCAATTCACCAACAAGCAGTCGCTATCAATCGGTTGTATCTGTAATTTCAAAAAACTAAGCGTAAGCTTTGCTTTTCCTTTTTTTTTCTTTCCCAGGGAAAAAAATGCTTTATTTAGTTTTTCTCTTCCTGAGTACATCATTGTTAGTCAACATTTTAAGCAAGTCTAATTAGTTGTATGCTAACACAGCTTCAGAGCTTAGTGGCTCCGGCTTCTTGTGATGAGCTTTGGTTTAGCCAGAGTACTTGAAAAAGAGAACACAAAGTCTTCCATGTTTATCCTACTCTCCTTCTTTTCTTCTTTTGCAATGGGGGTGGATGGGTGGGAGAACATTTGTAATGAAAAGTAATACTGTAGCATATTACAAGTGTTCTCCTAGGTCATAATATTTTTATGAAAAGGTCCATCGGTATTTTATGATGCTCTCATGGCAATTAGAATTCATTTTGTGCACTTGTGCCATGCTCCTATAATTGCGTGGGTAGAAGATTAACTATTAGATAAGTGCTAGAAACATTCACTCTATATACCATGAAGCTAGATGTCTTTATCCTAATTTTGGTAAAGCTTCTTCGACACAATGTGAATTACTCCAAACTGTTTGACAATTTTGATACATCAAAGTATGACAAAAATGTGTGGCACAAAGGCAGGATTAATCTCTCTATAGGCTATAGCACAACTTGAAGTATGAAAGGCCTCTAACTATCCACTAATTCAATGAAGTAATATAGAACCCGTACACTAAATAGTATGATCCATGGGCAAGGATGAAGTCGAGAACAATCAAAGTGTAGAAGAAAATCTCAATTAAAGACACCTTTCCAATACTGAACACCTAGAATATACTCAATAAAATAACATTCAAGGGGGATTAGATGAAAAATTAAACATCCAAAATTCAGGAGGTCACGGGTTCGAGTCGTGGAAACAGACTCTCGCAGAAAAACAGGGTAAGACTGCGTACGATAGGCCCTTGTGGTCCGTCCCTTCCCCGGATCCCGCGCATAGCGAGAGCTTAATGCACCAGGCTACCCTTTTTTACCCAAAAAGTTTCAAAGAAATTTATCTCTGGACTTCACGAAGAGCAACCCAGGAAATAAACACACAATTACCAAACATAGCTTTAGACATTTTTACTAGAGAGGGCCATAGAATAAAGGAAATAACTTCAAACTTTGCGACAGACCAACATTGTCTCCTAACCCAGATAGGAAACGCACTATAACCCATACATTGAAAAATAAACTTTTTTTGTTTTCTAAAATTTTAAACTGAAAGGTAAAACCTATGACATAGAATACACGATTTATCCAATAAAGAAGTTTTCCTCCTAATTGAAAATATATATCAGATATAATTGTTTGCTTATGCACAAAGCACAACATATATATGCATAACAGTCTGAACTAGTTTCTATATAGAAGCACGAAGATTGCAGCATAAAATTAGTTCAGAAATAGTGAAATTTTAGCTAAAAGGATCAAAAGAAAATTACCAAAGTGTGGATTACCAGTTGGAGTTCTCGTGCCCTAAAATCGTCTTCTTGCTAGGTATTTTCAAGGCAAAAGAGCAGAGTCTTCTTCTGTTTATGTTTTGCCCTTTTACTTAAAAGACTAAATTACCCTCAAATTTAAAAAAGATGTAGTAGTAACAGAGACTATTTATGTCTTTGCATCTATCCTGTCTGATAAAAAGCTTAAAAACCCTTTGCAGGGTTTAAGGAGCCAGCTGAGAAGAGATAAATCAAGAGGGCAGCTGAAAACAGAGGCTCAATTTGGGGCGGAATGAATAAAGATTTCCACCACGGTTAGCTTTCTTCTATAACCCAAAGCTCTCACAATAATTTTCCCATCTCTTTAAATTTCTATCATGACTCTAATTTAGATTCCATTTTTTCTCGATTTTTGATTCTATTTAATCACCTATATCTTTTTTTTTTAAAAATCTTCGCTTTGCTTTTGGTGCCCCTGCAATTAATTGTTTATCAAAAGAAAAACTTTATTTCATGTTTATGATTGCAGCTGCTCACGTCGAAATCCGATAGATTTATTGGAACTTTTAAACTTTTTTACTACTCATTACATGCTAAGAGAAGCTAGTTGCCGTATTGGAAATAGTATTTTAAGATGTTTTAATCGAGACCCGTAAAACGCTTCTCACTCTCCTCCTCTCTTTTTCTTTCTTTCCTTACTTTTACTATCGCTTGAGTTTTTTTTTTTTTGGTTGTTTTCCCCCCAATTTACTATTGAATACATGTGCAACTTGTGAATTCAATCTACTTACATTGCTGGGAGTTAATTTTGTCCTCACTTGATGAATTCAGATAGAGGAAAACCTCGAACTGCAGCAGGTCCGCCTCGCACCATTAATGTGCACAAATTTGCTGAGTCTCGAGCTTCTGAACTTGAGTCTCTTCACTCAATTGTAAAAGAACGATTATGTAATGATTTTAGATCTCAAAGAAGCAAGAGAAGACGAACAACAGGACATGATAATAGACTGGCAAAAAGTAGAGCTAGAAAGAAGCAGAAAGCAGGAGAGGTTAATGTTACTAACCCAGGCTATTTGGAGAAAGATAAAAAGAAACTTCCACGCCATGTTCGTAGGAAACTTGAACTTACAAAGAATTCTCTTGATGGCTTCTCAACTTCAGGCGATGGAACTAAGAGACTCAGAACTCACTTATGGCATGCTAAGCGTTTCACAATGACAAAACTTTGGGGATTCTATCTTCCCCTTGGTGTGCACGGCAGGTAATGATTTTGCTGCTCTTTGGCAACATGTTCAAGGTGCAGGTACAAAGTTTTAACTTTGTCCTAGTGCATTGAAAAGAACCATTTGTTATCAGACAAGAAAAAACGCACTTCTTTTACTGGTTAAAACGAAACACATTTGTTGATGGTACAAGGTTGCAATTTTGCCTCTTATATGCTTTCTATCGTTGGAAGAAGGTCCTTTGAATATTATATTTGTTAATTATGAATATATGATGCAGAGGGAGGGGGTCAAGAGCTCTTTTAAAGAAGCTAAAAGGAGGAGTGCTTGTCCATGATGCAAGTTATTGCAGTGCTGTGCAGTTAGAGGGTCCAGAGGCAGGCATTTACCTACTCTTTCTTGCCAAGCTTAACTTGATACTTGTTCTAACTTATTTCCGTTTGGTCACTAGATTACTTTGAGACCAATGGCATCTGAATTAAATGAACATTTGTGTTACTTATCAAAAAAAAATAAAAAATAGACATTTGTGTTTATTTTCTATCAATTATCTACCCAAACCTTGCAATTATGAGCCCAGAAAAAAGAAACAGTAGCAAGGAAATAACGGTCTTCTGCTAGCTAATGATTGTGCTTATAATGTGGTCATTCACATATTCTTCCAGGATTTGTTGCTGTCAATCCTAGAAACTGTGCTTGTGCCTTCTCCATGTTCACATTGTGAAGATGCTCGTTCTGACATACTCTCTGGTGCTATCTACGGTAGTGCTGAGGTGGGTGGTCCATCTTAGTATTTCGTTTAGAGTGGTATCACCTCCAAAATTTGCTTGCTTGATATTTCTGTTTCTTTGGCAGCTCCATCATGTAGGAGCCGTCTTTTCTCAGACAATTGCTCCTGTAACCTATATGTGGCAACCACAGCAGTGTAGGAATGCCGATACAAATGTTGATCATGCCAATATATGTGGTGAACAACAAAAAGTTGATGGCTGTTCTTCTTTAAGACGGCTATGGGTTTGGATACATGCTGCTGCCTTTAGAGAAGGATATAATGCTTTGCAAAATGCTTGTGAAAGGCAGGTTGAGTAAAGAATCATATGGTGTCCATTTCTAATAGCTCATATGTACTAGTCTCCTTATTAGTTTCTTCGGTTTTAGATGTTACAGTGACATGATGATGGCTGTACACATATTCCTTTCTTGGTTATAAATGCACATACTGTTCACAGAACATGTAGTTTACTTGCCTGTTTCATGTTGCTGTTGTGTAGATCAGAAATATTGCTTCTTGATTTTCAGGTAGATGCAGCTGGCACTAGAGTTAATTGCATTTCCCTTGAGAACCATCTCGGGAAGCTGGAAGTGATGGGATCTAGGGCATCTCAGCTTCTTCAAAAAATGTTACATCCTTCGACCTGGTGATACTATTGAAGACACAACCTTTCTATTTTAACTGAATTATGAGCATGTTAACTGAATATCGTTGTTGCGATGCAGTTCTTCAGTAAATTCTTCCCTAGTGAAGTATGCATCCTACATTGAGAATGATGATCAAATCCCATCTTCAGCAATCTTCTCTCTCTCTGTCGATGATCCTAGGTTTTTGGATAAAGATATTACTAATGCCTCGGAAGCAAAGGTTCAAGATATACTATCTTATAAGAAAGACGAGAATGGAGGAAATGGAACTCCAAAAAGGGATATGAAGTTACTCCCGTGTTCGTTCTTAGAACCTGAAGGGAGTCATGGCTTATCTCAGTGTATTGATCTGTGGGATACTAAAAAGGACATAGATCCTCCAATAGAAGAAAACATCCTTTGCATGGAGAAACACCGTCAGCGTATGGAGTTGTTTCGCATTGGTGATACGAGCACAGGCAGACAACAACCTTCTATTGAGAGGCGATTTTCTAGATTCTGCCCTATACTGCTTCTCAGAAGTGATAGCCAGAAAACTTCCATTATAAGGTGAATTTCCCAGCATAAGGTTTGGAAATGAAAAATAAGTCTGATTTATATTTAGACACGGTTGCTCAATATACTTTTATGACTAAAACACATTGCATGTGCTTAAACTCGAACTCTCGTTCCACAAACACCTCTTCTGTGTCCAAACTTTCAACCATTGTGGTGAGGTTGATGTAATAATTCTCATATCACGTATTGCTCTGCTGACACATCTCTTCTGGTTTAGTTGGTAGGCTTAACCTTTGAGGATACATACTTATTATATGCATCCACCTTAAAGCTCCACCATCTAATTACAAAAGAAAAAAAATGTGGTTATTGCACTTCCTGTGTTGATAGCATGAGTAATTGTCCAATTGGTTTGTGTTAGTTTACGGAAGTGTATCACATAATGTTATGAGTTAAAACAAACATAATAAAAGTGCGTTTTACTTTGTTTTTAAGAATAAAAAAATAAATGAAAATAATTCTCTGGAAGAATAAGAAGATAAGTGTAACTATATATATATATATATATATATACACACACACACACACGCACGCACACTTATGTGTGGGTGTGGGTGTGTGCCCTCTATCCAATTTTTTTGTCTTGGTAGATTTTTCAAGGACATTAAGGACAACAAAAGTAAATTGTTGTTATGTTTGAGTTTTAAGAAATATGTTTAAAGAATAATTGTAAGATATGTAAAGGGTAAAAATGTCACCTCAAATATGAAATATCGTATTATATCAACTCCTAGAAGACGGTATATTTGCAATTCTAGAAAAATTGGTAATCTTTTTGATTGTTAAAACTTGGTATCTTTTTAGGGTAGAGAAGCAAAATGAGGCTACATATAACTGGATTCCCTTGATTTGTAACGATCAAGCAATCGTGTTCGTATATAGTGAATACCTCATAACTGTTCTTTTAAATCTCTCTTCAGATGGTCTATTATTCTTCCACTGTCTTGGATCAAGGTCTTTTGGATGGCTATTGTGACCAATGGTGCTCAAGCGATTGGTTTGAGAGAGAAGCACTGGATATCTTGTGAAGTCAGTATGGATGTTCTGCTTTCGCTGTGAATTTGAGTCTTACATCACTTTAAATCCCAATTTATGTTTTTCCTATTTGCAGCTTGGATTCCCGTGCTTTCCAAGGGAATTCCCTGATTGCAGTGCATATTCTTGTTTTATGGCCTTGGAGGAAGCTGCTGATGATAAAAAGTCGGAGCTCCGTTCTCCTCACACAAGGACTTGGAAAGTTCCAGTTCCATCTCCATGGGACAGTCTCCGCTTTGCTCTAGAAGGACTCAATGGGGCAGCTCATGGCCGGGTACAACATGAACAACTTTTACCACATGATATGATCAGAAACATAGCAATGAATAATCCATACCTGAGAAGTTGCAAAACAGAAACGGAGAGTAGTTGTGGTGCTCCATTTGAGGGATTTGTTGCTAGGACATGTAATGTGCTGATTCAGTTTTTGGATGAGATCAAAGCTAGCCATCTACTTTTATTTCCGAAAGTGCTTCACAGTAAGAAGTGCATCGGCAAATTTATGAAGGACGAAAAGATACTCAATGAGGATGCAGGTGGGGTCATTTACCAGATAAATCAGGACCAAAAGTTGTGTTTGGTCAGAGTTCTTTTGCATGCCTACAGAGAAGGTTCTTTCGAAGAAGGAGCAGTTGTTTGTGCACCTCACATCGATGATGTAATGTTGTGGACAACCAGGTGACAATTGTTATCCATTTTGTATTCAGTTATTTGCTTGCCCTGTACATTTACTTATACTTATTTGTTGCTGATGGAGCTTTTATCCAACAGTTTGAGAATTTCATATGATACACAATAGAAAATGCAGGACTAAGCCCACTGCTAAATGACAATGTTTGGAGAACAAACATTTTGGCAGATTATTCTTCATG